ACTTTAGCGGGCAGGAGACCCTCACCGTGTCTAGGAAGGAATCAGTACAGAGGCAAGGCATCACTAAGACACACCCACAGCTCAGGAGCCCTTACAGATCTGGCAGAACTGCCCTTTCCTCAGTGAAGCACATCACCTGCCCAAGAACAGTACAGCAGAGAAGCCTGAGGAGAGGGAAGGGTTTGAGCCGATTATTTTGTTGAACGGACCATATGCAGCATGTTGTAGGAACATCCTTACCAAGCACACAGTGCTCCACCACATCTCCAAACTAAGCAAACAGTAGAAGACAAGGAAGGAGCATTGCACCACACACAGTCTGGCCTAGCAGAGGAGAAAGCTAGGCTGATTCATGGGAGTGGGTGCTTGTCCCACACCTCACTGGAAGGAGCCGCCACAATCTGAACCAGACTGTTCAGAAGGCAGAACCACTACTTTGTGCACTCTGTTCATCTCATTATGTCTCAGGCAATTAACAAGTTATATAAGATACCTTAAACCAAAATTACCTCCACCTATGCACAGGATACTTACTGGAGGATGGGGGGTGTGTTTCTTCCCCTAGATATCTCCTCTGAGCAAAGAGGATGCTGGAGAATACGAGTGTCATGCATCGAATGCCAAAGGAGAGGCAACAGCTTCTGCAAAAATCCATGTTGTGGAAACTCTGCATGAAATAGCCCTGACCAAAGGTAGGTAGTGTGGTTGGACACTCAGCAGCTCTTTCCCCTAACAGTTTACTCCGTTATTTGATACAGAAGGACCACCTCTGTTTAAGGCTTTCTGAAAAGAACACACACTAGAAATACCAGTTTAATGTGCAGCTTTTACTGGGTTTGGCAAAACTTTCCCAGCACATCTCAGCTGCTAGAGTTCTTGGAGATTGTTAAATAACACCCCAAGTGCTGTTAAGTCCTAGAAGTTAAGATACCAAGTTAAAAACACCTTTTGGGGTTTTTACAAAGCAACCTTCAGTGGTTTTCTAGCCCTAAATTTTTATTGTCCTTTCAGCATTCTCTGGATGCTTCCAAACCTGCCCATCTCTCCTAGGAGCAGTATTGGTACAACCAGCCCCAAGACAGAGGGGGAACTTCAAGCACTTAAATTCCTCCCTAGTCCTTGCAACCCCTTATTCTTCCCCTTCGTGGAAACATCCCAGTCCCTGCCATTCTCCCTCCATACTGGAGTGTCAAAGCGGAGAGGGGACAGATATGCCACAGCAGGCCTTTAGCAAGATCTGAAGCCTTTACCCTCCAGCCCTCAGCCAGTTTTCAACCCGTTTCTCTTTGCCTGGCTGCGTGCAAAGCTGATGGAAAACCAGCCATCCTCATTCCAGCTGCAGAGAGGATGGCTTAGTGCAGTGGCCACAGTGCTTTGGAATAAATCCGGAGAGCTGGAACAGTAACTGCAACCATGCCAGAGGCAGAGGCACTGGGAACAAAGCATCCAGCTAGAAAATACTGTGCTGCCCAAATCCGCTTTTGAACATAATCCTTAGTTTTAATCCCAGTAGCTTTATCCCAACAATATAGTCTTGGCTTTCTGTATCCATATACCCCTGAATAGATGACAGACTTCCCTGAGGAGAACAGTAACAGCACCTGGCACCGAAACAAGAGCATAAAATGAATCCACATATCATTTACACATAGCAACTTGGCTAAAGGTTTTTAGCTAGTCTCTAATCCATTTTCAAACATCTTATTTATGGATGTGAATGAAATTGAGTTTTACTGAGTTGTGGCATGAGCAGCAAGCTTATACCCCAGAACAGATGATGTTCACTCCCACTCTCACAGTAACTCCCTCATGGTTTATTTCTTATACACACACCACATGTTACAGCTGTTTCTTTTCAGCTGTAGGAAGGCTCTCAAGTGAGCATGCTGTAGCTAAGCAATAAGCTGTCAGTCCACAATTACTTAGAGGAAATTGATAACATTAATGGAACAAACTGTCAGGCGTCATAGCTACACGCTACACAGTTAGGGAGTCTGTGTCCCATATCCAGGTGATCTCAGCAGAGAAAAATGCCATCTATTACCACCCCCCTGCTGCTGCTGCAGTCCTGCAGTAGGGAAGGAAGGAAGGAAGGAGTTAGGATGGAGTTGTCAGGTCTCGCTCTCGGCTAAGACATCAGAAAACTCACGCACTGTGCCACTGCCCAAGTTGTGATATTACCCCTTGGAACAGTACAGAGCATAACATGTTTTTGTTTTTCCACAGATGATGGTGCAGAGCTGTGATGTGATGTGAGGACTTTCACTTATGCACAGTTTTAAATTAGTATTTTGGAAAGCTGAGACCTCTGGCTTTTTCTAGCTCACTAATCATTCCCTCTTAACTCTCTTATTCTTTGATTACCAATTTGCTTGCACACTTCTTTCACAGATGCACAAATAAAGAGATTCACAAGTTTGATTACAAACTTTAATTCTATTTACAGGAAATAAACATACTTTTGAACAGCACATGGCAGATGAGTGAAACTATATTAAATGCAACCTACACAAAATGAAAACAAAACCTGAGCACTTTAGTCTCATAATTTTTAAAAAGAATCCCTTTTAAAGGCTAAACACTCATCATACGAGGTGCAATACTCATAGACATTAGTTCTTGGAAGAGGAGTTTGCAGGCATAGGGCATTCGAACCAAGGATATCTGGAAAGAGATTTCAAAAGGCTTGTGATAAGCACTCCTAAAGCATCAACTTCCACCACCCTCTACACAAGTAACTTCTTGTTAAGTTTTTGGCTTAAAAGTGAATCTGAAATTATGCACGAAAGCATTTAGCAGGAATTGCTCAGACAGTAACAAAGCAAGAGGGAAGCTGAAACTGTCTGGAGAGGCTACACAGCAGCTATCCAGAACACATTTTTAACGTTAAAACCTGCAGCCAAGGGATCTGATCTTAAACAAGAGCCATTTAACAAAGGAATGTGTGCATAGCAAAGCGTGCCTGATGTGCAGTAAATGCAGTTAAGATTTCCAGCACACATCTCTTCAGTAGCCCCAATGCCATTGTTAGAGTTGCAGCAATCAGTCCCTAGCACAAGAACAAGGCTGTTTAAAGCAACTATTTTTATCTCTGCCACCAGTCTCCCTTGACATAGTTCTGTAACCAACCACACACTACAGAGCTTTTTTTTTTTTTTTTAAATAAAAAAATAAGTGCAACACAAAAGACCTCCCATGGGGACCCAGCTCTGCAAGCATAAATATCTTCATGGGGACAGTCACAAGGACGATGGCTCTAAATTCCTGTGATTCTGAGTTTTACTTCTAAAAATAAGCTCTCAAGAGTTTACTTTTAAAGTCTCTGAAAACTCTGCACTGCAAAATACTTGAACAGCATTTCCTGCCAAGCGACAAGCCAACACTGTAAAACTAATAGGGAAACACCCAAATTAACTAGGACACTATAAACACTTAAAACAGTTATTAAACTAAAATAGCAATTGTTCTGATGCTTCTTTAAATATTTACTTTCCTATCCTCCTGTTCACCCAAGTGGTATTTCCTCTTACCCACAAAGAGGAACGTAAACTGATGAAAACCACA